TTTCCTTTCTATTCGTAGGTTGTCTTCTATTTCTGATCGAGTTGTCTTGTCCTTTCTATCTCTATTTTTTCAGGACTGTCATTTGATGCCTAATACTGTTGCCTTATTGTGCAGCACTGGCAGAGCTGCTTCAGCTTGTGTTCAGGGTGGATGTCACTTCGACCCTGTTCTGTAAGCTTTCTCGTGCTTTTTTTTTACCTCCAGCCTGCTCGTGCGCTGCCTGAGCCATCCTGGTCCTTGGACAGGGTGCTCTCTTTTCTCTCCTCACAGTTTGTGGTTGGCCTCTTCGGTTCAAGATTCTTTCTTCAAGGCTCTTTTTCTGTCTACACTGGCCTCTGGGGGTTGGGTGGGTGAGCTTCAAGCTCTCCTCCGGCACAGAGGTTTCTGCTCCTTTAGTCTTGGTGGTCGGTTTGTGCGGTGGCAGCCTTCTCCTTCTTTTCTGGTGAAGAACAAGACAGCAGCTTTCTGGAAGGGTCCTTGGGTCATTGATGCTGGTTGGTCAGGCCGGGGGTTTATCATGTGTTGTGATCGGTTGCAGCTCTTCGGCGTTATTTGTGTGCCTCATCCTCTGTGACCGGGGACGGGCTTTGGGATGATCTGGTTTCCCCTCGTTCCCTGTTCCAGGGTGTGGGTCTCCCAGGTCGTATGAAGTGTTATTAAAGTCTAGCCAGCTTGCGGTCTATCCTCTTGCCCATGACGTTCGTAAGTTTGCTGCTTTTGCTGCCATGTCTGGAAACATGTTATGGACTGAAATTCGGGCGTGGGGATTTTGGAAGTCGAATAGGGTCCTGGGCGCGCGTTATCTTGTCATTGTTCCTGCTCCTAGTCGTCCGTTTGTGGCTTTGGGTTGCAGGTTGCAGCCAGTTGTCACGACTTCGAGTTGATGCGCGAGTGGCGGCAGCCTCCCGGGTAAGTCCCCCTTTACTTATCTTTGGTTAGGTAGCCCCAGGGAATCGAAGGGGCTCCCAACAGAAAACCAGCGTTGTTACATTCAACGCTATTTTCTGTGTGATCCCTGGAGCCCAAATACATGGAGGGTTTCCATAGACCATTGCTCCCTTTGCCTCTCAGAAGGGGCCAGGTTCTGGCTCATGGTTCCCAGTAGGCTGAACTCCAATCGACTGATGCCCTTGACTAATATAACATGTATCAGCCTAATAGCTCCATGGAGCCTCAGGGACTTACCCAAAATATGGCATTTCATTAAATGAACAAATTCACAAGGGCCGTGACGAGGATTCGAACCTGCATCCGGGAGCATCCCAGACACTGCCTTAATCGACTGAGCTACGACAGGGTTAAAAGAGTTGAAACCGAAGTTCTACTGAACTTACTGGATCCCGTAGCCTCTCCGAGGCACAAACCAGGGTTTTACACAACTCCCCCTTGCACCCGAACTATGTCAATAGGCCGTTCTCTCTCTTCGCCCTTGCATCATTACACACAGAGATCACACTAACGTGATGCATCAAATGAACAAATCCACAAGGGCCGTGACGAGGATTCGAACCTGGGTCCGGGTGGTTCGAATCCTTGTCACGGCCCTTGTGGATTTGTTCATTTGATGCATCACGTTAGTGTGATCTCTGTGTGTGGCATTTCATTACATTCAACGCTTTTCTTTTTCTGGGGAAGCCCCTTCGGTTCCCCGGAGCTTACTAGGCTGATGTGCTAATATCAGGCTTTGGCATCCGTCATGTGTATGGAGTTTTGTAGGCCTACCGGGAACCACGAGCCAGAACCTGGCCCCCTCAGAGAGGCATGGGAAGCAATGGCCTATAGAAACCCCCGTGTGGTTGGAAGCATTCTATGTCTGCAATCGACCGGGTCAGGCACCCAGAAAGGTAAGCATCCCATAACAAACCCCTATTCTGGTGAAAATATTGCTACCAAAAGCAGAACAAGTATATAGAACTCCCCCCAAAAAAACGAGCAAACGAGCATGATGTCACACGTCGCCACACCGGTGTCTGTGCAGCTCCCCCCTTCCTGGGGGGGGGGGGAGCCCAAGACCCCCTACGCCGGCTGTCCACCTATCAGTTCTTAGGCTGATGCTAGAGGCTAAGGTCGTGTGCTCTGACGCGCGTGCCTCCCCCCCCCCCCCTCCGATTTAGGGAGATTACCTCCTGGATTATGCCTCATTGATGGATCCGTCTTCGTCCTCAAAAAGGGTCCGTTAAAAGGATGCTTTCTGGGTCCGTTACTTGGTTCCGAAGTCGTCCTGGCTGGTGGACTGTCCTGTCTTTGCTTTGGAGGCTTGGCATTCCTTCTGCCTTTCCCACACGCTTGAGTGACGTGAGGCTGCGACGGTGGTTCAGGTTTTCCTGGGGGGCGACCTGGAGCACCTCGGTGAGTGCTTGTTTGCCCCTGCCCTTCCCCGGGAAGTGGGCGTAGTGCAGCTCCATGTTCAAGTTCCCTCCCTCTCGACTGCGCAGGTTGCTGAAGACATGCACGCCCGTGGCCTTTTGACATCGGCCTTGCGTCTCATTCCCTCCTGGAGCTGTCTTCGGACTGGCTTGAGGAGGATGTAGGAGCGCTTACTTTGTACCTCCAACTTTGAAGCTATGTTACTATTAGTAACTTTGAAACACTAATTTTGCATGTAAGTACATAGTACCACACCTGTTATCAAGAAATGGAGAAGGGAGGAGAATGCGTTCTTCCCTACAATAATAGAACATGGTTATATATCTGTCTAGTACTACATGTATTCTCTCACCGTACCATTTTCTCTGTGTCCTACTCCACTGTACTGTTCCAATATTCTTATATTTTGTTTTCTGTTCAATTGAATGTTATATTCTAGTACACAGTGCTTTCATATTCCTTTTAATTATAATAAAATAGCACTATTTTCATGTATTTCATATCCATTAAAAATGTTCATCTTGATGCTAGGACATTTTATGTATGGTCCAAAGATTGACTATTTCTAGGTGTTTGGTACTTTACACATGCATGGAGAAGCCCTAACACATGAAACTCGTGGTGCTAAATTCAACTTAGTGTCCTGGACTCTGTATTCATAAATGTACATTTTATTGGCTGTAAATATTTTTGTACACTGCCTATTCCTTACACTAGGAAAGAGCTGTATTCACTTGATGAATCAGGCGCCGCGGTGTGTGTTGTATCACAGGCGAGTGGTGGCCCTCCACCAACACCATTCACTTGATGAATCAGGTGCCGCGGTGTGTGTTGTACCACAGGTGAGTGGTGGCCCTCCACCAACACCATTCACTTGATGAATCAGGCGCCGCGGTGTGTGTTGTACCACAGGTGAGTGGTGGCCCTCCACCAACACCATTCACTTGATGAATCAGGTGCCGCGGTGTGTGTTGTACCACAGGTGAGTGGTGGCCCTCCACCAACACCATTCACTTGATGAATCAGGCGCCGCGGTGTGTGTTGTACCACAGGCGAGTGGTGGCCCTCCACCAACACCATTCACTTGATGAATCAGGCGCCGCGGTGTGTGTTGTACCACAGGTGAGTGGTGGCCCTCCACCAACACCATTCACTTGATGAATCAGGTGCCGCGGTGTGTGTTGTACCACAGGTGAGTGGTGGCCCTCCACCAACACCATTCACTTGATGAATCAGGCGCCGCGGTGTGTGTTGTACCACAGGTGAGTGGTGGGCCTCCACCAACACCATTCACTTGATGAATTAGGCGCCGCGGTGTGTGTTGTACCACAGGCGAGTGGTGGCCCTCCACCAACACCATTCACTTGATGAATCAGGCGCCGCGGTGTGTGTTGTACCACAGGTGAGTGGTGGCCCTCCACCAACACCATTCACTTGATGAATCAGGCGCCGCGGTGTGTGTTGTACCACAGGCGAGTGGTGGCCCTCCACCAACACCATTCACTTGATGAATCAGGCGCCGCGGTGTGTGTTGTACCACAGGCGAGTGGTGGCCCTCCACCAACACCCATTCACTTGATGAATCAGGCGCCGCGGTGTGTGTTGTACCACAGGCGAGTGGTGGCCCTCCACCAACACCATTCACTTGATGAATCAGGCGCCGCGGTGTGTGTTGTACCACAGACGAGTGGTGGGCCTCCACCAACACCATTCACTTGATGAATCAGGCGCCGCGGTGTGTGTTGTACCACAGGCGAGTGGTGGCCCTCCACCAACACCCATTCACTTGATGAATCAGGCGCCGCGGTGTGTGTTGTACCACAGGTGAGTGGTGGCCCTCCACCAACACCATTCACTTGATGAATCAGGCGCCGCGGTGTGTGTTGTACCACAGGTGAGTGGTGGCCTCCACCAACACCCATTCACTTGATGAATCAGGCGCCGCGGTGTGTGTTGTACCACAGACGAGTGGTGGCCTCCACCAACACCCATTCACTTGATGAATCAGGCGCCGCGGTGTGTGTTGTACCACAGACGAGTGGTGGCCTCCACCAACACCCATTCACATGATGAATCAGGCACCGCGGTGTGTGTTGTACCACAGACGAGTGGTGGCCTCCACCAACACCATTCACATGATGAATCAGGCGCCGCGGTGTGTGTTGTACCACAGACGAGTGGTGGCCTCCTCCAACACCATTCACTTGATGAATCAGGCGCCGCGGTGTGTGTTGTACCACAGGTGAGTGGTGGCCCTCCACCAACACCATTCACTTGATGAATCAGGCGCTGCGGTGTGTGTTGTACCACAGACGAGTGGTGGCCCTCCACCAACACGCAGTTTCTTATCTTTGCTTCAACTGTTCAACATTGTTTTCTTCCTGCTCCTTTTCAGTGGTACTAAGGATCATTGCTGGTTATTAGCCCATCCTCCAGTTTAAATAGTACCTAAAGTAACGAGGTGGACTGTTGTACACACAGGTACATACTCGAAGACTCGGAACTTTAATTTCTCTTGCCAATACAAATGTATGATAAATTTGAATGAACTCTTAATGTTGTTGTTGTCAAATGGTTACGTATGCTACAATATGGGTTACCTATATTTAAAAATTGTTTTCTTTATTCAACAGACAATCATACAATGTAAATTTGGAGGTACGGATAGAGGGCACATCAACTGTATCCATTAACTCGCTAGACCTGAAGAATCCATATTTCCGTTATACAGGAGTTGCTCCTCAGCCACCTCCAGGCAACAATTCAGTTTCTCCATCGGAATCCTATTGGGGCACAGTTGATGCTCAAGGTGCCAAACAAGGTAAGAAACAACAATGGTAAAAAGGTCTAACAGTTCCAGTTTGGTCACTTAAATTTCAAAACATATTTACATAAAATGCAGAGTAAATTAGAAAATTTGACTTGCAACTCTGGCCCTAAAATATCTTGCAAACAAAGCCATTCATTTATTATTTGCACGGTCTTGCTTTACTAGTTAGAGCTTCCTGAGCTCTGACTTTCTTTCTGAGTTCTGACTGGAGCTTTTCCTCCAGTCTACTACCGTATCCTTTTTAGTTACTCCATTTTTTTATTTACACCGTTTTTAATGATTTAAAATAATGGCCTTCTTGAGGTTATCTTGAAATGATTTCGGAGCTTTAGTGTCCCCGCGGCTCGGTCTTCGACCAGGCCTCCATTCTCAGGAAGCAGCCCGTGACAGCTGACTAACACCCAGGTACCTTTTTACTGCTAGGTAACAGGGGCATAGGGTGAAAGAAACTCTGCCCATTGTTTCTCGCCGGCGCCTGGGATCGAACCCAGGACCACAGGATCACAAGTCCAGCGTGCTGTCCGCTCGGCCGACCGGCTGCCTTTTCTATTTTCTGCTGGCATAAAAATTCTTTAGTATCTCTGTATTTCCTTAGATATTTTTTTGTTATTTCTCCTCTCCCTCTTCTGTTTTCCAGTGTGATAATTGCCATTATATCTTGTCTTTCTTTATGTTTCTAAAACAGTTGTGTAATGTCATGCTGGCTATAACCCTCTAACTGCATACATTAAATTAGGTCAATTTCCTGATGTACATAAAACGAAAAATACTTTTCCTTTTCTGTGAAGAGCCCCTCCAGCTCCCCGGATCTATTCTGGGCTGAGATGCATATATTAGACAGTTCCTCATTGTACATACAGCTCCTCGTGCCCCTCAGAGAGGCACGAGGAGCAATGACCTATAGAAACCCCCAGGTGGTTGGAAGCATTCTATTTCTGCCATCTACCAGGTTAGGCACCCAGAAAGGTGGGCATCCAAAACAAACTACAGCTGGTTAAAAATTGCGACTGAAAGCCGAAATAGCAAGCAAAACTCCCCAAGTTGAAAACAAGCAAACACGCATTTTGTCACCACCGCCGCTGCGCCTCTTGTTTGCACAGCTCCCTGCTTCTAGAAGGGGAAAGGGGTGGGGGAGAACCCCCCCCCCCAGACCTGCTATCCAACTGCAGTTCAGAGGCTGATGTGTTGAATGGTGGTCGTTCGACTCTGACTCCATTCTTTGAGCAGTGCTATGCCTCGTGGTGGTGTGCTGCTGTGTGGTCGTGTGCGAGCCAGGTATAATTCAAGACGTACTGGGGCTGCATGCATCTAGGGGGGGTCACCTTCCCTAGGTGCCCTGTAAGTACTGCCCTTGCTGTTTATGGTTACCTTCCACAAACTGTACGGGAACTACCTCCGCTGGGTTCTTTTGCTGCTCAGTGATTGCCTGCCCGTGGGGTTGGCTGGGGCTTTTTTGCTACTGTTTGACCTTGGGTAGGAGGTAGTATTGTCACTGGGAAGGGCGCAAGGTACTGTGCAGCTGTCTTTAATACGCATAGTGGCCGGTTCTGTTCCTCCTGGAGACGTATTTATGCAGGGATTTTCTTTTGCTTTTCTTTTGTTTGCCTGATGGGGGTCTGCTTTGTGTGGCTACAGGACTACTTGTATTATTTTGGTAGCCCTCTCCTAGTCCCCCTGTGCTTGCACACATTGCAGAGGTTCAGTTTTTAGTTTGCTTGGTAGCTCTGGGATTAATGGTTAGCAGTACCTTGCCTGGGCTTCCATTAGCAGTCAGCCAAATGGCCCTGGGCACCCCCGTTGAGGGGGTGCCCAGGGCCATTGGTCCGATGGTCCGATGTAGGAGATCTCTGAGTCCCACCTCACTTTGTGCGAGTTTGAAGGTTGCTCTGTCCCCTTGTCTCAGGGTGATACTCGCCGTCTTTGCCTCCGCCATGCTGCCTGGTGGGTCAATGACACCTTTGACCCGGAGTCCTGCGAGTTGTGTTCCTTGCTTGTACTCTAATTCACCCAGTCCACTGATATTAACATTCGGGTGAAGGCAGCTTCAGCTTTGCATGCACAGTTTAGGTTGCTGTAACACGCGAGGTTGGTTTTCTTTCTGGATGCCCCACAACTGTCCTGCTTTGGTTATTAGGACCCGGACTTGTGTTAGTCGCCTCAACCATGGTTTCGTCTATGTCCCCTTGTCCTTCCCCTCTTGTGGTTCATCCTGCTCCCGGCTCCCAAACGTCTGAGGGTTTCGGAGTCGGGGCAGGGTTGTTTTCTTGGTGGTGAGACAAGCAGCTTCGGGGACTGCCCCTTCCGGATTGGCGGTGGAGGCATTTGAGCCTGTTTCTCCTGCCGGGGCTTATGGGTCGCGCCAGCGGGGCCACTTCATCCCTGCTATTTGATGGATTTCTCTCCAGAGGCAGAGGGTTTGGAGGACAGCTCGGCCCCAGGTCCTGACGTGGAGGATTCCGGGGCTGGGGAGGAGTTGACTTGGGGGCTTGGGCCCCGTTTGACCCCGCTTGGGTGTTGGTACCCTCGGCGCGGGGCTTGTTGTTATGTACGAGTTTGAGTACGTAACTACGTACATACGAGTACGTACCTCCCTGTATGAGTTTGATATGCGTTCAATTCCTCCCCGGGTTCAGTTCCGGGTTCCTTTGGGTTCCTCAGTTTCCTCCTCCTGGAGGATTTCGGCATCCCGATGAGGGAGGTGCAGGAGGCTCTTGTGGCTTACCTCCAGCAAGACCCTGAATTATGCCTTGATAATGGGTCCTTCATCTTTTTGAGTTTGGTTCTTCTTTTTCCTTACTGGATGTGTTACGAGGTTGCAGAGTCTTCCTGGTTGGCAGACTGCCGTTTCTTTTTGTTGGGGCGTGGCATGGGTTCTGTCGGACCTGCATGCTTGAGTGGCGGGAGTTTACCAAGGTTGTTAAGGTTTCCCTGGGGGTGAGTTTGAGCACCTCAATCCGTGCTTGTTCATCTGTGCTTCCTCTTGATATTGGTCAGGTGTAGTTTTATGTGCAGGTTCCTCCCTTTCAGTGTCCCTCGTGGCCTATGATTTGCATGCCCGTGGGCATTTGGCTTCGATCTTTCACTTCTTTTCCTTGCTGGAGCTGTCATAGGACTGGCTCGAGGAGGATGTGGAGGAGCTAGGTTCCGGGCCTGCATCTGATGTCGGGCATAGTCAGCCTTACTGAAATTGTTTGTGCCTATTCTGAAGGAAGCGGTGTCTCTATTCTTTGTTTCACGCCTCGCGTGCCGGCAAGCAGTGCTTGTCCACTGTTTGGAATTCGCTTGGGCTCTGGCTCTTAGTTTTTCATCTCCTTTTTGCCCGTTGCTCTTTGCAGAGTCTGCGGTGGTGCATTTTCTGCAGGCCTGGTTGATACCTGGTTGATGGGGTTCTGGGAGTTCTTCTACTCCCCAAGTTCTTCTACTCCGAGGCCAGGCTTGACTTGTGAGAGTTTGGTCCACTAGGCTGTTGCTTGGAGCGGCCCGCAGGCCCACATACCCACCACAGCCCGGTTGGTCCGGCACTCCTTGGAGGAATAAATCTAGTTTCCTCTTCAAGATGTCCACGGTGGTTCCGGCAATATTTCTTATGCTTGCTGGGAGGACGTTGAACAACCGCTGACCTCTGATGTTTATACAGTGTTCTCTGATTGTGCCTATGGCACCTCTGCTCTTCACTTTCCTCCAACAGGCGGATTTGTCTAGTTGCCGGCCTGTGTCAGACTTGTTGGTTCTCAGGGGAGGATGGGGGGGGGACATGGTGGTTCTGTCCAGAATGATTGTGCTAGGGCTAGGAATCCCTTCGGTCATCATAAGCCAGTTGTGCCAGATTCAGGGCCGGCCCATCCTGCGAAGCTGTCGGCATCTGGTTGGCGCAGTGATCGCTCTGAGCATTGGTCGCGCTCTCATAAGGGTCGTTGGCCTGTTTGAGATTGTGGGGGGTGGCTCATACTGTTTGCTCTCGCCTGGTCCCACAATTCGTGGGCGTTTCGGATCGTTTCCTCCGGCTTGCGGTGGCATTGGGTGGCTTCTCCTCCTTTAGGGGGTTTTGGGCTGGCAGGGCAGGCCTCTTTCACTGTGCTCTGTCTGGTCATCCTGGAGTGGGTACGCTTGGGCGTGGCCGCCTGTCTCTTCATAGGTTGTCTTCGATTTCTGATCGGGTTGTTTTTGTTTGAAACTTTTGATCCAGTTTTCCTCCTTCCCTGTAAGTGGGTGCGGGTCTCCCAGGTCGTCCGCAAGGTTATTAAGGCTAGCCAGCCTGCAATCTATCCCCATGCCCATAATGATCGTAAGTTCGTTGCTCTTGATGCCATCTTTGGCAACATGTCCTAGGGTGACATTTGGGTGCGGGGTTTTTGGCGGTCGAACAGGGTCTTGGCTGCGCTCTACCTCGTGAACGTTCCGGAGCCTAGTCGGGCCTGTGTCGCTTTGGGTCGGCGGTTGCAGCCAGTTGTCTTGGCTTCGGGTTGAGGAGTGAGCAGCAACCGCCTCCCGGGTAAGTCCCCTCTACTTTTCCTCTGGGTAGTTAGCTCCGGGGAGCCGACAGGGCTCCCCCAGAAAACCAGCGTTGAATGTAATGAAACGCCATTTTTGGGGTGAGACCCGGAGGCTTCTCGGCAACCCTCCCTTCTCCCCGGTCGGCGGTTTTCCGCGTGTTTTGTTGTCCAACCTCAGAACTGAAGTGTGGATGGCCGGCACTGGGGTCTGGGGCTCTCCATTCCCCCTCCCAGGGAGGGGGGACCTGCACAGAGGCTCGGCGACGTGTGACGTCCTGCTCGTTTGCTCAATTCTTTTTTTGGAGTTCTATCCACTTGATTGGCTTTATGTAGCAATTTTCACCAGAATAGGGGTTTGTTTTGGAATGCTTACCTTTCCCCTTGCCTCTCTGAGGGGGGGCAAGGTTCTGGCTCGTAGTCCCCGGTAGGCCCACAGAACTCCATAGACTGATGCCAAAGTCTGACATTAGCATATCAGCCTGGATAGCTCCAGGGAGCCTCCGGGTCTCTCACCCAGAAAATGGCATTTCATTATATTCAACGCTTTTTTTTCTGATTGCTAAAATGAAAGCTAAGGCTTTCAGTATTTTTTCCAATATAGCAAATGATTGCCAGAGGTTTCTAATGTTGAATGATGTCCATATAGAAATATTTGGGACTTGCGAATATATATATGGGCACAGTAAATATGCTGCAGGAGATAGGTGCAGAGGCGTAAATTGCTTGAGGGGTGACAGGAGCAGTTAGAGGGTTATTGTATAGTGGCATATCCAAATCCCAGATCCCTCTAAGTATCTTGACAGATTATGCTACCAGTTGCCAGTCCAAAATTGTGATTTTCTGGAAGGGCCAAATGGTGGCTCCCTGTTGCTAGCAATACTGGGTGGGATAAAAATACTGTCTTGCTTTTTCTCTTAATCAATATCTCACTTATTTTTTTAACATGATACAAAAAGTTGATAAAAAATTTGCACTTAAAGTTACATCAGCCCTTGCGAGTCTTTAACCTCCATCCTGCGCGACTTTTATTGTGACATTCTGGTGGTGTGTGGAAATTGAAGCGTTATATTATTAAATCCCTTTCCTGAACATATACAGGTAAAATTCAATATAAAAAACAACTTACTTTGGCTGTGGCAACATGGAGAAGATGCAGTGTGACATGACCAATACATGTTCACCCGTGAAGGAAGCTCCCAGAGGCGGTCGCATGGGCGATTCAAGACTCGCAAGTTGCCACAAATATATTTTCATTAATTTTTCAATGCATTTTCAATGTTTTCTAATTACTTTTTTTATTGTATTTGATGCACATTTGTGTTGTTTACAATATGTACACCGCAGAACGTTCATAATGTTCCAAGGAACTGTGATCCATGTGTCACTAATGTGTATATGAAAATGTTTGTCACAATATTACTATGTACACTCTCACACTACACAGCCACACACTGTATTCCATATTCAGTACTTCGAAGGTGAGTGATAATCAAAGAAGCAGTCCATGGTACACAGCACAGCTTTGCACTCGATGCACCAGGTACACACAGATTTTCGCTTCCCGTTTCTTCGTTGTGTGCTTGCAAACAATGCACTCACACACACCTTTGGCTTTGGTTCCTGTAGGTGGTATGTAGTCAAGCTTGTGAAGTGTAAGGTAGTCTAGAAAAGATTAAAGGTAAACATCAGTGACAAAATTCTGTCCTGGTACAAAATAATGGCAAAATTTTTGTCTGATATGACTGAACACTTTTCACACTTTCAAATGTTGATAATTTCTATCAACATTTGTAATGTTTTCAAAGTGTAGGCACAGTTGAAATATCAGAAACCTGTCTTGTGACATGTACTTGTTGAACGTTGAACACAGGGCTTGGAACAGTGCTATCTTTGTTCCAATAATCCTGTATTACCTGTACATGTTTCATGGAATGTTTCATAAGCAGACACAGAGCTAAGAACACGTACAATTGAGCCACAATCTTGTACATCTTGTTGACAAAACCAACAGGTATGCATAGCAACTGCAACTTATTGCAGGTGGCTTATTACCTGCTTCACGTATGACACGATGGAAGGACACCACTGTAATTACCTAAGTAATTACCTAAGTGTAATTACTTAGGTAATTACAGTGGTGTCCTTCCATCGTGTCATACGTGAAGCAGGTAATAAGCCACCTGCAATAAGTGGCTTATTACCTGCTTCACGTATGACACGATGGAAGGACACCACTGTAATTACCTAAGTAATTACCTAAGTGTAATTACTTAGGTAATTACAGTGGTGTCCTTCCATCGTGTCATACGTGAAGCAGGTAATAAGCCACTTATTGCAGGTGGCTTATTACCTGCTTCACGTATGACACGATGGAAGGACACCACTGTAATTACCTAAGTAATTACACTTAGGTAATTACTTAGGTAATTACAGTGGTGTCCTTCCATCGTGTCATACGTGAAGCAGGTAATAAGCCACCTGCAATAAGTTGCAGTTGCTATGCATACCTGTTGGTTTTGTCAACAAGATGTTGCATGAATGGCTCTCTAACATAAGCTATAAAATATTCACTTGCAATAATATCTTTACCGGTATATGGGAAAGTGGGTGCAATCTGCATACCCCATGTGGCATTCCGACCCACGTGGGTCGGAATGCCCTACTGTATACCCCACTTGATGTTTCATTACATTCAATGCTGGGTTGTTGTAGGATAAGGGTGATCCAACAGGAACAACTAAACACCGGTGAATATTACGTTTCAGAGAAGTCTTCCAGTGAAATATATGCTGTACTAGGTGAAGACTAAGTGATGCGGAAGATACAGTTAGGTGTTGAGTGGCCAGGACATGAGTAAGGAAGAAAGAAAAATAGCAAAGAGAACTAGTCAGGAGAAGCAAAGGAAAATGCAAAGAGGGACAGGAAATGGAGTTGGGAAGGAACAAGAAGCGAGACCAGGGTAGGAGGAGGGTAATTGGGCACAGCAATAAATTCAGTCTACTCACACTGATGAGGAACGAGCCGGGGGAATGTGTAATTACCTAAGTGTGGTTACAAGATGAGAACTACTCTCATGGTGTCCCATCTTCCCAGTACTCTTTGTCATATAACGCTTTGAAACTACTGACGGTTTTGGCCTCCACCACCTTCTCACTTAGTTTGTTCCAACTGTCTACCACTATGTTTGCAAAATGAAATTGTACAGTATAATATATCTTTTGCACCTTGTTTTCTTAGCTTGAATCTGTGTTCTCTTGTTCGTGAAGTTGCTGGGTTCCGGAATTCCTCTTTGCCAATTCGGTCTATTCCTGTTAGTATTTTGTAAGTGGTGATCATATCACCTCTCTTTCTTCTATCTTCTAGTTTTGGCATGTTTAACGCCTCTAGTCTCTCCTCGAAACTCTTGTTTTTCAGTTCCAGAAGCCATTTTGTAGCATGCCTTTGCACCTTTCCCAGTTTCTTTATGTGCTTCGTGAGATTTGGGCACCATACAACTGCTGCAAATTCCAGTTTTGGTCTCACAAAAGTCATGAACAGTTTCTTTAGTATTTCACCAGCCATATAATTAAAAGCAAGTCTGAAGTTGAAAAGCAATGCATACACTCCTCTCACAATGTTCTTTGTGTGTTTCACTGGCGACAGTTTACTATCCAAAACCATCCCCAGGTCGCCTTCTTTATTAAAGTTCTGTGTTCCTTTCCACATAATTTGTAAGTTGTGTGAGGTCTATCTTCTCCGAATCCGCATTCCATAACATGGCATTTATGCACATTGAATTTCGTTTGCCACTTGACACTCCAAGCACTTGTTTTATCTAGATCAATTTGAAGGACATTACAATTGTCTGCGTCTCCAATTTTACCCAGTAGCTTAGCATCATCCGTAAACATGTTCATATAATTCTGTATTCCTTCTGTTCTAGTCTTGGAGGTAACCAGGCAGCTGGCTCGGGGAGCCAACGAGAGCACCCGCCAGAAATATGGGTTTCATTACAAGTATTGATGGATTTATTTGGAAAAGTTAGATACTACTCTTGACAAACTTATTTTCCTTGCAGCAGTTAACATGGTGAATGGTATAACAGTGAATGGTCTTGGAGAAGTAGCACTGGACCAAGGAACCTCTCTCATCACCCTTGGTAACTTGCATTCTCATACTTTACTATTCTTATCACATCCTTAGCATTTCAGTTTTTGAGAAGTTCATTTTCAAATGTTACATTTTATAGAAAACATTAAAGTGCAAAGGTTAGAAGATAACTCGGGCATTTATTGAGTGTCCAAATATGATCACACATTTTCTTGAGATACGAGAAGCTGCATTTTCTCTTTGAGTTATTGAGAAAGTGCAGTTAGCCAATCAGTGAAAGTACTGACCTTTTTTTAATGAAAATAACACATTAATGATTAACAGTCTAAATAATTTGTCACGGAGGAACCGAGACTGAACTTCTTTCTTAATGATACTGCATGTTGTTAAGCCTGTTGCTAAGTATATGTAATGCATGTCAACACTTCCTGAAGTTTCTCAGAGCAAGAGTATGAAAGGTAAGATATGAACATTAAAGTCAAATTATTAGCCTTGAGAGCCAGAGCCCTTTTTATGGTATGGCAGCTTTGTGTTTTAGCAACTCTTTGGGTTTTTATATATTTGATCTATTTCTGCTAATATGACTGCTATTTTCCCTTAGGGGATGTATGTTGTGAATGTTGTTGTCTGTGCACATGTCTGTACATCAATGTAGACTTGCGTATGAACAGGCAAGAGCATCCTCTTCTTGTAGACGCATTTACTGTTTTGTTTTCTTGCCATTATTATATCAAATGCATCTTGTGATTTATCCACTATTGTTTACCAATCCATACAATTACATATGATTATCTAAAAATACCAGATATCAAAATATTTTGTATAAAGTTCACTGAATGGTAATCCACATTAATTAACATTTACTATTCATTATTCTTTAGTGCTGTATTTAGGCTTGACTAGATAATCGTTTGTTTTCTCGGTTTTCAGTGGTTTCTGGGAGATATCTTTAGGAAGTTTATGTGCATCACATTGAACCTTTCTGCATTTATTTAGAAAATCTAATTAAAAGTGCTTATTTTAACCACATCTAGTAGTTTCTTGGTGGCCAATCTTAGTATTAATTAAAACCTTGTTGGTCAGGTGTGATCTCAACAAATATCTTGACAATAAATGTAGTTGTATAAACATTTCATCAAAGGAGGATGTGATTCCATTTCAATTAAATTCACTTTCAATTATGAAAGTTTTTTAATAAAAGTAATTACTGAAACCAGCAACTTTATGAACAGTAGGACACAGATTCAAGCTAAGGAAATGAAGGTGCCAGAAAAATATTAGAAAGTTTTATTTTGCAAGCATAGTGGTAGATGGTTGGAACAAACTATATGAGGTGGTGGTGGAGGCCAGAACCGGCAGTAGTTTCAAAGCGTTATACGACAAAGAGTACAATGGACACCAGGAGCATAGCTCTCATCCTGTAACTACACTTGGGTAATTACAGGGCCTGATGCCAGGGTGTTTTCCCAGGAGTCTCGGGTTATACTGGTGCACTTGGGAGCTTTGCCCTAGTCATTTGTTTAAATTTCTAGAAATGTTTCATTCTAGAACTGCATCTCCTGGCAGGATCCTTGTTTTTTGTTTTCTCCACGGCTATTATTTTTTTATCTAATGGCCTAGGCTTTGTGCCAAATGGTGCGTAAAGTTTGATAATGATAAAATGAATATTTGACTTTTTTTCTGGGGGGAGCCCCTACGGCTCCCTGGAGCTTATCGGGCTAATGTGTGTTATGTTAGACCGGGACATTAGCTATGGAGTTCAGACCTACCAGGGACCAGCGCCAGAACCTGGCCCCTTCAGAGAGGTTTCAGGGAGCAATGGCCCTGGAAAACCCCATATGGTTGGGGGTTTTCCTTATCTGCCATCGACCGGGGTTAGGCACCCAGAAAGGTAGGCGTAACAAAACAAACCCCACATGGTAAAAAACTACAACAAAAACCGAACAGAGAGGTAGAAAACTCCCTACAATCCCAAGGAAAACAATCAAACAATCAATTTACTGCCGCGCCGGTCGTCCGCGCAGCCCTCCCCTCCCCGGGAGGGGGAGGGGGGGGGGGCCCCGGACCTCACCGCGCCGGCTGCCGTCAGTTCGCAAGCTAGTGTCAACCGGGATAGACGCTTCTCTGGCCTCAAATTCCTTGGCGGTGTTTGCCTCGTGTGGCGTTCTCTGCTGTTGTTGTGGTGTGCGGTGGCCAGGAGTACTTCATCAGTGCCGGGGCTGCATGCGTCTAGGGCTTCCTTCCCTAGGCGCCCTGTGAGTACTGCCCTTGCGTGTCAGGGTTATCTTCTCTGGGGCGTTCGGGAACCGCTCCCGTAGAGGTTTTTGCTGCTCGGCATTTGCCTCGCCCTTGGGGCCAGCTGGGGCTTGGGGCCCTTGTTTGGCCTTGGGTAGGGAGTGGTTTTGTGCTGGTTAGGGCGTCAAGGTGTTGCGCGGCCTGCCACCTAAGCGGCGACCGGTTCCTGTTGCTCTGGGGACGGTGTACTTTTGCGGGGTTTTTCTTTTGTTTTGTTTTTGGTTGCCTGGTGGAGGTGCTGCTTCGTGGGCCCATAGTTCCCCTGGTATTGTTTTGGTGGTCCTCTGCTAGGCCCCCGTGCTTGTACACGTCCCAGGGGTTTTCAGTATTATCATTTACCCGTGTTTTGTTTGGGTTTCTTAACCGGTTTGCAACACCTTGCCCGGGCTTCCCGTAGTTGCTACCCTACGGGCCCTGGAAACCCCTGTCGGGGCTCGGGGACCCATGGAGGCGTCTCCCGAGTTCCAGCCTGCCTTGTGCGGGTTTGAAGGTTGCAGTGTGCCCTTGTCTCAGGGTGACAGTCACCTGTTTTGCCTCCGTCATGCTGCCTGTTGGGTCAATGACACCTTTGACCCGGAGTCTTGCGAGTCCTGTTCTCTGCTTGTGCTCAGGTTTTACTCTGAGGATGTTCCTATTAGAGTACAGGCAGCATCAGCGTTGCATGTTAGATTTAGGTTATTGCAACGCGCTAGGTCGGTTTCCCGCCTGGATGCCCCGAGGCTGCCCCGTTTTGGTTTTAGGGACCCTGACCTGGGGGCGTTGATTGCTATGGCTTTGACTCCTACGCCCTGTGGTTCTTCCTGCACCACCCCCCCTGTGTCCGGCTCCGAAACGTATGCGGCTTTCGGCCTTGGCACAGGATTTAGTTGGTGGAGAGACTCGGGCTGCTTCGGGGGCTGCCCCATCCGGGTCGGGGACGGAGGCATTTGAGCCGGTTCCTCCTGCCGAGGCTTCTGGGTCCCACCAGCAGGCCCCCTTGTCTGCCTTTCCCTTGGACTCTACCTTTTCTTCAGGGGTAGAGGGTTTGGAGGACGGCTCTGCCCCGGGTCCCGACGTAAGGGATCCTGGGGCTGGGGAGGAGTCGGCCTGGGGGCCTTGGGCCCCCTGTGACCCCGCTTGGGTGCTTTTGCCTTCCCCACGGGGTTTATTGTTGCAGGGGGAGGGGTTTTCTTATCCTCCCTCCCTGTATGAGTATGATTTGGGTTCGGCTCCTCCCCGTGTTCGGTTCCGGGCGCCTTTGGGTACCTCGGCTCCGTCTTTACAGGGGTTTGCTACTTCCCGTCTCTCCGCGAAGGTGGCTCGGGAAGCTCTTGCTGCATACCTCTTGCGAGACCCGGGTTATGCCTCCACGATGGATCCGTCCTCGTTTGAGTTCGGTTCTTCTTCCCGTTTTTGGGTACGTTTGGAGGTTCCGGGGTCTTCCTGGCTAGCAGACTGCCCTTTCTTTGCGTTGGGGGCGTGGCATGGGTTCTGTCGGACCCGCACGCTTGATTGGCGCGAGACTGCTACTTTTATGCAGGTTTACCTGGGGGGCGAGTTTGAGCACCTTAATGCGTGCTTATTCGCTCCTGTGCTTTCTCGGGATGTTGGCCTTTTCCAGCTTCACGTGCAGGTTCCTCAGCTTTCGGCTTCATTGGTTGCGGAGGAGTTGCGCTCCCGTGGGCATTTGGCTTCGGTCTTGCGTTTCTTTTCCCTTCTCGAGTTCTCTTCTGCTTGGCTCGAGGAGGATGTGGGAGCGTTGGCTGAAGGGCCTTCGTCCGGGGCGCTTTCTTCGGCAGCTAGGGCGTCGGCTGCACTGTTGAAGCTCTTTGCGCCCATCCTGAAGGAAGCGGTGTCTCTGTTTTTTGCTTCTCGCCTCGCGTGCCGTCAGGCTGTGCTCGCCCTCTCTTTGGATTCCGCTTGGGCCCTGGCTCTTAGGTTTTCGTCTCCTTTTTGTCCGTTGCTGTTTGCAGAGTCTGCGGTGTCCCAGTTTCTGCATGCGGCTTCGGCTAGTTGTCGTCCTATGGCGGACTTGTTGATTCTCCGGAGCAGTCGTTCTCGGCAGTTTCGGAGGGGTCGTGCCAGGGTTTCGGTTTCCGCTGGTCGAGGTGGGCCTTTGGTGCCGGTTTCTGAGCCGTTGTTCCCTTTGGGGCCAGCGTCGTCTGGGCGGCGCAGTGTTCGCCCTGTTCGACGGTTGGGTTCTCGTGCGGGGCGTCAGCCCTTTCGCGGTTTGCCCCGTTGACGGGGCGCTGGGGGGGAGGCTCGCTCTGTTTGCCCACGCTTGGTCCCACGATTTGTGGGCCTTTTCGGTCGTGTCATCCGGCCTGCGGTGGCGTTGGGCGACTCGTCCTCCTTTGGGGGGTTCGGGGCTAACAGGGCAGGTCTCTTCTCCTGCGCTTCGTCAAGTCATCTTGGAGTGGGTGCGCTTGGGCGTGGTCGAACCGACTACGTCCCTCAGGTGGGTTTCCCGCCTGTTTCCAGTGCCGAAACGGGACTGTGCGGATCTGAGGTTCATTCTGGACTTGTCCCGTCTGAACCCCTGGATTCCTTGCCCCTCCTTTCGGATGACTACTCTGTCTCAGGTCCGGCTTCTGTTGGAGCCGGGTGCCTGGATGGTGTCCCTGGACCTAAAGGACGCGTATTGGCACGTTCCTATTCATCCGGGGTTCAGGGACTGGTTAGGCTTCGTGGTAGGGCGTCACGCTTACCGTTTTCGATGCCTACCTTTTGGCCTGAATCTGGCACCTCGCGTTTTCACGCGTCTGACCCGAGTTG